GTGCCTGCATGGTTGTGGACAGGAAAGTGAATAAGACAGAAGTCCCTGCCTTCATTGAGCGAATGTCTTGGGGCTGGGGGGCTAGAAAGAAGTAAACAAAGTTAATAAATAGGTAGCTTGCGATTGTGCTGCGGAAGCACGAAGAGCTGCAGCATGATGACCCGGAGCGGTCAGGAGAGGCGCGGGGGGCAGTATGGGAGGACCCAGGGGAAGAAGGGCCCCGGGGCATGTTAGAGGGACCGCGAGAAAGCCGGGCTTAGGAAAGCGGAGGGATTAGCGGAGGGATACAAGAGATCCGAGCGGCGTGCAAAGATCAGATCACAGAGGGCCATGTTGTCCAATGGGGAATTTTAAGCTGAAGAGTGAAGATTGCGAATTAAAAGAAGTTGTTGTGGGAGACTGGCTAGCAGGCTGCTCGTCCAGACCGAAAATACAGGCAAACCTCTCTCTGAAAACAACCACGGAACTGACACTGGGACGAGATGTGTTCATCCTGGAGGCGTCCTGTAATTGCTGCTCATCAAGAGGGTGAAAGGACGTCCGTGTGGCTGAACAGGGACCTCTTGAGCTCAGATGTTCAGAGAATGTGTCTAAAAGACCGCAGAGAGTGGCGCACAGCCAGCCAAGACCAGAGGCAGGCAAGGGACATGCCTGCCGGTGGGTGCGTGTCCGCTGCAGGCAGCACCTCCGAGACCCAGAGAGCAGGCAGGGAAACTCAGAAAGCTCTTTGCTTTTGTTTTGTGAATATGTGTAGGACGAGAAAATACAGAAGGGCAGAATAAAGCCACTGCCCAAGGTCGTGGGCGTTCATTGATTTGCTCACACAGTCTAATATTTCTTGGACACCCGTTACATTTGGGCCCTCTTTAAAATACCAGGGATGCCACAGGTGGTGAGGTGAATATCTCCGTCCTCAGAACTTAAGCGGGGCATGGGGTGCAGGGGGCAGTGGAGAAAATAAACACCAGGAAGGAAAATACTTCACATGTTGGGGGGGGGGGTAGATGACAAGGACAAAAACGAAGAAGGGGAAGAGGACATTTGGGGGAGGGGAGCACGTTAAAGAAGGTCATTTCATTACTTGGCTTTTATTTAGAGTATGATGGGGAAATCATTGGGGGGTTCGAGCAGGGTAATGACGCTCTCTGACATTTTAAAATAATTACTCTGGTTGCTCTGAGAATAGAGATAAAGGACAAAACCGAGCAGTTTCCAGCACCTTCACCGCCATCATCCTGGCCCTGGCACAGTCTGCTCTTACCTTGATAATTGCAGGCAGGCCCGGTGAGGCCATTGCCATGGTGTGGGCAAGAGACGGTGGTGGCGGCAAAGGTACTGGACCTGTTGGGAAGGTAGAGCTGACCGTATTGGGTAGGATATCAGCAGACAAAACCCTCAATTCCTCTTGTGTTTCCCTCTTACTAGAAGATCAAGTGGATGTGGGAGCCTAGGCTGCCAACAAGGGAAGTATTCAAAAGAACTGTTCCAAGCAGAGGCTGGCTGATGAATGTGTATGGCCAGCAGGAGGGAGGTAGAGTGCTGGGACCAGGGAGGGGACGTGGCCTGGGAGCCCCAGCAAGCCAGTGAGAGAGGAGGGACGGCTCGCAGTGGGAGGCTCCAAGGAGAGGCTGTCCTTGGTGCAACCCACATGACTGGGGAGCTAGGGAGCCATAAGGAAGGTCATCGGGAAGTAGGTTGGGAGTGACAAAGTCAGGATTCCAGAAGCATTATCCACACATCTAAAATGACTGAGACTAACTGCAGGGGAAAGAGTGGGAAGCCACCTGTGAACCTAGGCGGAAGTCATCAGGGAGGATGGGAGAGCATCCAGACCTGTGTGAGCAGGTAGAGGGACCGACTCGGTGGCAGCAAGCCTCAGTCTGGAAGGGCGAGTGAAATGGGAGCAGTCAGGGCCTCCCTCTTGCCTTAGAAGTCAGAGAACTTTGAAATATGCCAATGGCTGACTGAGGGGTTTAAGAAAGAATTTCCCAAGGCTGTTCTCCAATAGAATCAGCTGATGCTGCATGCCGCAGAGCTCCCAGGACAGTGACTGTCCAGAGCAGTCCATTGCACGACAGAAGCCAGGGACCCATATGAGGCGTGTTGGTATAGGAGGGACTCCCACACTTGGGACACAGACAACTTGGCCTCTCAGTCTCTCTCAGTGCTGAGGTTTTCCTTCCCATAGGTCTGGACCAGTGGTGCCTTTTCCTTGTCTTTTCGGCTTTGCAAAATCCACATTGCAAGGGAAACCATTACTTTTCAGAAAATGTTTAATGGGAACTTCTTTGCTTAATGAAACTTGCCTCCACTTAGGGAAAGCGCCTTTAATTGAGCCCTTTTTAAGCCTCGATTTTTTTTCCCCATCCTTCCGTCAATTGGCATCATAAATATTCATTAAGGATTGACCCAAAATAAGGGTTATTCTGAAAATCTTTCCTAAGCCTTTCAGTTTTGCTTTCTTGTAACAAGTAATTATTTGAATATGATCTCTGGTCAATTATATTATTGTAAAAACTAGTGAGTAATTGATTCTTGGAGTTTTTTAATTGAATCAGGATTTGTGAAATCATGGGATCTGATACGAAGGAAGAGATATTTTCTGTGAATCATAGGTCCCAAGTAACTCCCTCTCTTGGAGCTCCAACTGCAAACCATTGTCCTTCTCTTGCATCCCCCAGCTGAGAAGGCTGCAGTCAAGGCTGAGCTGGAAGGGTAGAGCCAAGCCTAAAGCCTGGACATGGACTGTAATGCAGTATGAACAGCAGATAAGCCTTTCCAATGGGTAGGAACAGGGGTGGCCCTCTAAACTGCAAACACACGTTTGTGGGAGGCCCGCTGTCCATGGGAGAGGGCTCTGGTGGGCTCTGCGGTCTTGTCCCTGGTCTTGTCCCCAAGCCCTGGTCACACCCACTTCAGAGCCTTTCTCAGGCCATTTTCCTCTTGGCCCTTGAGCCACACAGTGTCAGCTTTAGGATCAAGCTAATTGATCAACTGACTTTGAATATTAGCAAATGACACTTGGTCTATAGTGATTGTTCTCAATTTTGATGCATAATGTAATCACAAATTTGACTGCACAAAGTAGCTTTAAAAAAAAAAAATCCCAGTGCCTGGCTATCACCCCCAGAGGTTCAGATTTAATTGTTCTGAACTGTGACCTGGGCATCAGGAATTTTAAAAGCTCTCCCAGGTGCTTCCATGTGTAACCAGGATTGAGAAACCACTGGTTTAAGAATTCATTCATTCCCCAAGCTGAGTGTATTCTAATAATAGTTCTATTTGTTCCCCCAAATGACTTGTATACCACAGCATTTTAAATAGTTCGTGTGACTATAAAAACATCAAAGTAGCTATTTCCACCTCGTGTTAATTGGGTAGATTTGGGGAAAGGAAGTAGTACAGTTCTTTTTTTGAAATTGAATTCCTAGAGTACCTCTGGGCCCACTTGATGGCAGTACCAGCAACTTGCGTTTATCACGCTCTCAGCTTGTGCCAGGCACCGTGCTAAAGGCTTCCGAAGCTCGGCATATTCATTAGGCCATCTTAATCCTCAACCCTGTGAGTAAGCCTCAGTTTTCCTGTCTCTGATTAATGAGGATCCTGAGGTCCAGAGAGGCAGGTTCGCCTGCTTGCCCAGGGCTGAACAGGAGCCCAGGCACATCTGGTGCCAAATCTTCACTGATCCCTTAGGAAGGAACAACTTACCTCAATAATTTCCCAGAAAATAAGGGTGTCCCTGTGTTAGCTTTCGGGTTGAACTCTCTTTGAATTAGATTGTATTCTTTTGTATATCCAGAGCTTTTATAAATTTGATTTCAGGTTCACTCCCAAGTTGCCTATATATATATAGACCGATCTGTCATCTATCTATTTATAGGATATATATATATCCAAGATTGGGAGCCCATTTCACAAATTAGTTTTCTTCATGCACTCAGCAGACATTATTTTAGAGAAGCGTCTTGTTTCTAGCACCTCACCTCGTAGACGCCACCCCAGTTTTTACCTGGTGTCCCTAATACTTCTCTGAGGTGGTAAATTGGCAGTGCTGTCCCCATTTTACAGAAAGGGGAGCTGGTGTGCCAAGTATTCGTTATCTATTCTATTAAATAGTAGTAGTAGTTACCACTAAATGAATACTTCCCACGTGCCAGGCTCTGTGCTAAGCTCTTTACATCCTATGTGATTATCCTTATTTTACAGATAAGGAAACTGAGACCAAAAAAGGTGGAGCTCCTTACCCAGGTACAGTTAGTAATCAAGTGCCTTGTTCCTTTGCTGCTCATGTGTTATTTTAACTTCTTATGAGCAAAATGGCAAGACGTAGACTTCATTTTCTCTCCTGTGTTAGCCTGACCACCCTCTGCTGTCTATGCACTGGCATCCAGACAACCGTGTCTAGAACACACCATTGAACCATAAACTGGATTTTCTTTCCATGTGTCGAATGGCCATTTAATATCAATGGTGAAACAAAGAATTTTCTGCCAACCTTGCCTATCGTATCGAGGTCAAACAGGCTCTAAATGTTCCTTCTCCAGCCATCCCAGTACGAGGCTGCTTTGGTGTAAACAACCCCTGAAGGTCAGAACCAGCTCAGGGAGCAGTTTCACTCTCCATCCTTCTCTGAGCTCTGCTGTTTCTCAGCTTTGGATTAATGACAAGACCCTTGTCACTGCTGCCAGGCCACTTCCAGGCACACAGGCGCTAAATGCTAAGGACCAAAACCCACCTACCGCCTTCTTGCTAATTATGAGTATAACCCCCCCCTTATTTTCTCCCTCTGCAAGCGAATACAGAGTCGATAGCTTCTGGTTTGTTAATTATGTGTATCCACATAGTTCTGGAGGAAGAATAAGTCTGTGCACGGGGAGATTGGCAGCGTGGCGAGTGATGGAGCATCCGGGAGAATGAAGAACCTAGTCGCCTGTGTCAGGGCAGCGGGTCACTAATTGAGTGCAAACCTTTTTTTTTAAATGTTGTTTATCCCCCTACAGGGCATACAAAACCATTGAGGATGATGACTTGAAGTTTCCCCTTATATATGGAGAAGGCAAGAAGGTAGGCATGTGCACTCCCCCTGGACCGAGAGAAGCAGGCTCTGTCCCCGCACCGCCCATGGCAGTCTCTGTGCCCCACTCCGCAGCCTGGCATTTTATAGCCCTGACAGCTTGAAAGACTCTCCCCTTCCATCATCCTTCAGGCCTCCTGTCTTGAGGGTCCGAGGAGTGGCGGGGGTTGGGAGAGGGGAGGATGAGTGGTGAGCACAAGGGACGAAAGTCCATTTTGTGAAAATAACATTCCATTTCTCCAATCTATCTGAATAACTTTTTACAGCGTTTAACCGTGACCCCATGCATGTATGTCATCTCCCTGTGTTTCTGACAAGCCACGAGGCAGGCAGGGCTGGTGGTACTAGGTCCATTTGGCAGACGAGGCCGCTGAGACTCTGAGGTGAAATCGGCTCCTGCAGAGTCACACAGCTGGCCAGGGGTGGTGGGAGATGTGGAGCCACAGCCGTCTCCCGGCTTCTGGAACTCTCACGCTCCACCACGGAAGTTCAGACTCTGCAAGGATGCTTCTCTGCTTGCCCCAGGCAAGGGGATCCAAAGCTTCACTGTGAGGAAGCTGGAGGATCCCGTGCACCAGAGCCTGGGCTAAGCTAGCAAAGATCGCTCGTCACGAGCTCCCAGGGCCCCAGTCAGAACCACACCCTAAGCAGCAGGCATGCTGTGGAGCACGGGAAGGCTGTTTGTCTGTCTTGGTCTAGGAGCGGAGGCTGGAGGAAGTGGCCATCCTGGACTGGAGATGGGGAAGCTTTGAAACTGTTTGCCAGTAAGAACAAACAGCTCTGAGTCATTGCATTCTTCCTCTGAACACGAGTACACTTCAACTCTGTCTGGGCTGAGAGCTCCAATTAGAAGTGAAAAACGTGCTCACATTAAGAAGAATCTTCAACTGAATTTTTTCCAATATTTCATAGTTTTTTGGAGGAAGAAGTGACTCATAATAAAATTGAAGGGTGCCTTTATGGACAGAACTTGAGCGTGTGTGTGTGCATGCACCTCTGAACGTACATGCGTGGGAGAGCACACGGGTTTAGATTTGGGCTCAGTGTAGCAGTGATTTCAGTGGAAGGAGACATTCCGTGGAGGGAATGAAATACAAACATCTGATTCACAGAGGGATCATTTTTCAAACGAATTTGCCCTGTTCATAGAAATGGGCCACCTTCTATCTTACCATCCCTGATTGAGAATCGTGACAGGAAAGGACTCTTTTCCTGACAGTGTTGCGTGGGCCTGTCAAGGTGATGGGTACCGTTAATGCACATCTCTCAGCCCAGTGACCTATGCCTACAGCTGCAGTGCTTTGTGGGGCTGAGATTCTCAGTATTACCCTCCTATACCCAGGGAGTTCCAGTAAGCTCAGAGCCACCTCCTGTTACCTTTGTATCCCATGCACCTGCCCAGCCTGGTACCTGACACACGGCTGGCCTTCAATAAAGGCATCGGTATTAAGTACACTTTTCAGTTACGTACAGAATACTTTCTCCCATACCAGAGGAAAATGGACTAATGTGTTCTTAGAAGATGATCAGAATAAGAGTTAAAGGAGCCAGGGGCTTCCCCAGTTCAGCAAATGTTCATTTCACCAGGACTTCATGTTCCTCAAGCATTTCAGTTAATTAGGGCTTGACACTTCTGTGATAGGCAACTGGCAAGTTCTGTCATCGTACCTGATGGCCTATTTAAAAGCCACTGTGGCTCCAGTCTGTTCCAGGCTTGCTCCATTAGTGAAGCAGCACAAGATCCCTGTCAGGGGATCCATGATTTCTTGCGAAATCTTTACAACTGCAACATGTCAGTTGTATCTAGATCCTTTGCAGGGGGTTTCTCTTTCCCGTCTGCATACACCTACCCAGAAGTTTCGGAAGACTTTCATAGCCATAACTTCTCATTTTATTCGTGCCAGTGCTTTTAAGGATTTGTGTGGGTAACACCTACGTCCTCTGTAAACAAGTTCAGTAACTAGCAGAAACATCAGATTTCTTTAGACGAAAACGCCCACCTGTGCTTTTCCAGCCAGAGAAGCTGCCATTGCAGCGGGGAGAGCAGAAGAGCCGCAAGGGACTCAGGATTTTCACACTTGGAGTTGAACACTTCTTAGCCAGTAGGGAGTAGGCGCAGCTCCCCAGCAGAGCAGAGAGTTTCTGCAGCCCGCCTGACCAGAGGTCCCCAGGCTTCGTATCACATGCCTGCATTTTACCCCCTTTGATTCTTGCTTTTAAAAAATATGTCATGGTTTCATTTCCACTTTAATGCAAACTGCCCATCTTCTGATCTGAAACCAGCTCCAAAATCCATAGCCTTTTTGGGAAAACAGGATGAAAATGCTGGTCATGTTTTAGACTGTCATGTTTCCTCGCGTTTATAAGGTACCCTTATTACCCAGACAGTAGAGTGAGGAGTCAAGCCCGGGTCTTGGCACCATGACCCTACACCGGATATGTTACTGATGATCCAAGTGTTAGGCCATTGGGCTCCATTCTACCAAGAAAGACTTTCACTTCATCCCTCTGTGCTTACCTGGCTCAATGCTACCCGTCCTTCTGCACAAAAATGTCATGTCACCACCTCTGGGAGGCTTTCTCCGCAGAATTTTTACCTCCTCTGAAGTCCTCTAACCCAGGGCGCTTGTGTCATTCTGCACTTGGCCATGCTCTACATGTCTTATCTCCCTTCACAAGTTCCTTTATATTAAGGACAAGTCCTTAGACATTTGTCTAAGCTTGATTTCCGCACATAGTAGGTGCTCAGTAAATGTTTGGCTAAGTCAAATCTGTGGCATCCCGGGAGCTATTTAGGCTGACTGTGTAGGCATTAGTTTAATAGTATTGTTTCCTTAAAGCTTTGGGAAAACTAAACTGTTTAGAGAAAGCACAGGTGGTGAGGTCTCAACCCTGAGGTCTCTGTGTAGTTATAACAAAGTGACATTTCCACCCAGAGGGAATTTATGGGGATGTTAGCAGGCCGGGTTACAGAGTTGCAAAGAGTTTCTTTTCTCTAGCCATGAAGTGCCTTCTATGAGCTTTGGGAGGGTGGGAGCCGCCACTCACTTTTTTTTTTTTTTTTTTTTTTTTTTTTACATCTCTCACTAGTGCCTCTCAGGAACAGGAGACACGGCTGGTGTGTTCAACAGGTTCTTGTAGGGTGGGTATATCACAGACAGATGGTTGGATGGATGGACAGATAATGCTGGATTTGATTTGAACTGATTTCAGGAGCTATAGCCATCACACGTGTTGGATTTAGTTTCCTGGATACCCTCCCTTCCTTCTAGTTTCTACAAAAGAACTCTGAAAAGAGACAGCAGCAACCCATGAAACTTGGGATAATTGGTAGAAAAACCACTCCTTAAGTACAGAAGTGATCTTGGTGAGCCCTTCCTTGGAAACAGCTACCCACATAAGTTAGTAGCAAGGGGCATGGAGAGGGACAGAAGGAATTGGAAAATGAATGCTTCTCTCTCCGCCTGTGGCAGCTACATTGTGACGGGAATGCTTTTTCTGTATGTGTGAATCTTTCTGATGACCCTCTGCTTATACCCCTAGGCCCGAGTAATGGCAACAATTGGAGTGACCAGGGGACTTGGGGACCATGACCTGAAGGTGCATGACTCCAACATCTACATAAAACCATTCCTGTCTTCAGCTCCAGAGGTACCACATGAGGTTTTTGTTTCTGTTTTGTGCAGTAAAATATTGTGTACATGATTCCTCCCGGGACTCGCTCCCCATATGCAGACAGTAGCTAGCTTGTGTCACAGGTACTTGTGCAGTGGTCCTTTTTCCCACTCCATTCTCACTTTGAGTGTCTGGGTTCCTGCACTCCCCCACTTCCTGCCCAGCTAGCTGCACAGCCCCCTAGAGGCGTTCCTGCCTCCTCAGTCCATCCCACATTTTGTCATCGGACAAATCCCCAAACAGGTACTCTGACTCCTGTTAGCTCTGAAACCTTCAACCATACCCCGTGCCTATGAGAATAAAGCCCAGATTCCTTTGGTTGGCATTTGAGGCATGTTACAATTTTGTCTGTCTTTCTAGACCAAAAACTTGATCTCTATTCCCCCGAACTAGCCAGAAAGAACTTGCTGTGTCCTTCCTGTGCACGACCTTCAGTTTCCTGGAGTTGCTTAGATTCTTCCTTCTGCCTGGAATGCCTTTCCTCCCCATCTCCAAACATCCAGAGTCTGCTGTGGAGACTTCCCTGATTTCTCCCTTCCCTGACCAGAAGTAAGGTCTCCCTACAGATCCGTGTGAAGCAGCTGCCTTTTACTGCCTTCCACTTTCTGCCTTATTGCAGAGTTGTTCCTGTATATACCTTATCCCCTCTTTGATTTTAATCGCCTGTACAACTTATATCATTCAGCTGATGTTTAGAGGAGTTAATTGGAAATCAAGTTGTCATCTTTTTGGTTAAAAACTTTTTCTCACCCAAAACTTATGTTAAAAATAGCCAACAACACATGTTTATAACTTATGATACGGGAAACAATATCTAGTTCTGTTTCAGGGTGTATCTTTAGAAAACGTTTTGCTTCTATGTTGTAGAGAAATCTAAGTCATAGTAGGTTAAGGGTCTTTTTTTTTTTTTTTTCCACCTGTCGGGGAGGCTGGAACTTGGTGGTAGCTAGTGTTGGTGCAACCCCTCAAGTGTGCCAGGATGGGCATCTCGGCTTCTCTGCCTTTCCCTTCATGATTGCAAGATGGTGGCATAACATCTTCACACAAGGCAGGAAGGAGGAAGCAGGCAGCCTGTCTGTCCCCAACAGTTCCTCACTTGCGTCTCATTGGCCAGGACCGTGTCACATGACCCCCCCCCCCCCCCCCGGCTGCAAGGAAGGTTGAGGGAGGGAGATTTAACTTTTCCAGTTTTTACAATAGAAGGGAGAGGTGCGTCAGGAACCAATGGTGTTCACATTCTGTGCAATTACCTGTTAGAACAATGCCTTGCACCGGAAATGCCCAGAATGTTCAAATATAGCTCCGTCTGCATGTTCTTCCCAAGGGTAGATGCTGTTTTATTGAAGGCTCTTTTTGTTGGAGGAAACCAAAACCCACTCAAGCTAACTCAAAAGAGGAGGTGCTTGTTATAATAATATTAGACGAGATGTTTATGGTGCACACAAGAAGAACCCTTAACAGCCAGTCTTTATGGGAGCGTGCTTCTGGAATCAAGGCACCCCCCAGAGAGCCCCAGCAGTGGGAGTCTGTCACTTTCAACATGAGGGTGTTCTGCCCTTATGTGGCCAGTCAGGTTCCATATGTCTCTGCTACCAGTCAACCCATTTTCTCACTCTCCCGATTCCTGATGACCAGAGAGCAATCTCATTGGTTCAACTCCCTTTTTATACCAGGCCACAAGTGACTTCCCAGCCCATAAATTGCCCCTTTGGCTTGTCCACTCCAGAGCCCTTGGTGGGCATAAACAGCCACCCAGGCTCACCCCTTTGGCAGGGCTGTGAGCAGGGGGTTGGTTCTTTTAGAGTTTGTATTGCTGAGGCTGGCATTCAAATTACAAGTAGCCACAAGAGGTTGGGAAGTCACAGAGGGGGAATCTCTAGTAAATAGAAGGCATGGAAGACACACACCTTTCCTGATATCACCCAGCATTTCAAATGAGATCAGCCTGGTGGAAATAAAAATTGCCATTCATCAGAGCCTATAGATGTCTCTCTTTTAGCCCTCCCAGCAGTTCTGCATGACGAGGACCAATACTACATAAAGTGTCCAAGGTGCCCCAGAAGCTTGTGGATCCCTGATTCCTCTATTCTGGCCAACCTCAGGGTCCATAAATTATTGCTGAAAACTACTCTTGGCCAGAGGAAAGCAATAAATACTAGGCTCATGGACTCTATATTTTCCTCTCTTGAGAGAGAGGCATTTATTAGACATATTAAATGGTGCCATTGTCTTTCTACTTTGCAAAAGGGACAGATGAAGTGTGACTCATGTTCTGGGAGGGGGGGTGGTCCTCAGAAAGCACTAATTAAACATTTTGCTTCTTAAAGCAGAGTAAAAACCTCCTTCTCATCTCCTTCCACACACACCTATGCTTTCTATATAAAGTGAGAAGACATGTAGTTTGGTTTGAAGGAGAATGATTTCTGCGCAGTTAGATTTTAGATCTTCTAATTGCTCAGTTGCTGTGGCTCCAAAGAAGAGACTGTAGGTTTAAAACTTGGGCATGCATGGTAGACTCCCTGGGGACTGATGAGAAAGCCCAGTTGGTGGATCAGAAACCTTACGTCATCTACGTAGAGTGATGCTAGTTCACAGGGAATTGGGTTGGTTGGTTCAGTTTTGGTGAGGGACTGACAGGTGGGCAGGGTGTTTAAAAGGAAACTGGCCACCTATGGAAAAATGTAAGTGCTGTTAGAGCAGGTGTAGAGTTCAATAAAGTGTAGTTTTTATAATAACAAGTGATGTTTATTAACTGCTTAGTCTGGGCCAGACAACTTATGGTGTTTTTTATACACAGTATCTCATCTGATCCTCACAACAACCCCAGGAGGTCCATATGCCTATTATACCCATTTTGCAGATTGGGAAACTAAGCCTCAAAGAAGTGAAATAACTCCCCCAAGGTTGAACAGTTATGAAATAACAAGATGGTACTTGTACCCAGGTCTATCTAATTTTTTTTTTAAGATTTTATTTATTTATTTGACAGCAAGAGACACAGTGTGAGAAGGAACACAAGCAGGGAGAGTGGAGAGGGAGAAGCAGGCCTCCCGTGGAGCAGGGAGCCCGACATGGGGCTCGATCCCTGGACCCCAGGACCATGACCTGAGCCGAAGGCAGACGCTCAATGACTGAGCCACCCAGGCGCCCCTAGGTCTATCTAATTTGATCAGGGTCTGTAGGAGAGAGTAGCTGAGTTCAAAGAAATGTCTTTGGACAGTGTCTAAGGGACCCTTTGAGTACAGGTTCGAGGGGCTCTGAAAGGATCTTTGTCTTGAGACCTCAGTGGCTCGAGTTTCTCGGAGAAATACTGCTGGCCTTGGACTAAAGTCGTAGGAAATGATGGCGTGGTAGAAAAAGTAATTGGGAAAGACAGTAATAGTCTTTGGTGTGTGCCAACCTAGGCAAGACAGAATTGTGCAAAATAAGATTGTGCACGTATAATTTAGCTTTAATGGGTATGTAGTGTAGACCCGGAGATTCCTTTGCACGAGATTAAAATTGTTGTACGTTTTAAATGCTTCCAGATGGAGTGGGCTTAGCCAGAACCGGGAAGCTTGGGGGGGGGCGGTTAGAGAGAAGAGGAATGGCAGTTGGAATTGGCTACTGTGGAGGGGTACAGGAGACCCCCTCATTCCCAGTCTTAGGGTAGAAACTCCTCTTCCTTGGGTGCTGGTGATAAAGTCCAACACCAGAGACGTGGCGAGTGGGCCTCTCTGGGGGAGCTCGGAAAGCCAGGTAGATTTCTCCAAACCATCTAATGAAGAGTAACTACCCCTTTCCTGCCTGCAGCCCCTCACCCCCAACCCCACGCCTGCCCTGCCTTTCTAACTGTGATTTCCTAAGAACATTCCCCTGCTATACCTCCTCTTTGCCAAGCATGGATCTTTATTTCACATTTGGGTTCTAAATTTCAAATCCAGCTCAGTCTGGTAATTTTAACAGTTGGGGAGAAAAATGCGATTTAGTTCTAAGAAAAAAAAGGCTCTAAAATCTTCTTGGAAATCAGCATTGTTCCCTTCATCATTGTAGCTCCTAATTCGATTTGATGAGCTAAATAAAAATAAGACAAAAACATGTGTATCAAATTTACGTAAAAAATGCTCAGGGGTTTAAAAATTAGAGAAGGGTTTGTAGCCAAACACATTTTCGGTTTCGCTGAACACAAGGCGATGGAAAAATCTCGAGTTTGCCAAACCCAAAGAGCAGCCGCCAGGTTTGCTGAGCCTCCCTCCTATCTTCCAAGGTCTAAGGCAGGGGTTTCTGGCCAAGAACTGAATTCCACAAGGGGCCCCTGCCAGCCAAGCGGTTGGCCTGACCATCGCATGTGGAGGCGTTCTGAGTCTCATCGGGTCCACAGCACTGTGTTTTCCCCGTGTCACAGTGTGAGACGCAGTTCCTCCCCACATGAGAGAAAGAGCCTCAGCCCGGTCTCCCATCTCCTTGCTCAGTGAAGCGCATCGACAGTTCACCTTTTTTATACTCTCCCGAAAGAGTTCAAGCAGAGAAGGAAAGGATCGGGGAAGTCAGGCACTGAGCCCAGACTCTCCTTCTTTTCCAGCATTTCTTCTCCCTGCCGCAATCTAGCACACTTCCTGCTGTGTTACTCAGGCACCTTGGCACAGGTCTGCAGCCTAAACCTCCAGATGTTCTCTGCTCCTCGCCCCTTTCAGACGTGTAACGGGCCCTCCCTAGAGCTAGGATCCCTCTTCGTGGTACTTGCTTTCCGGCCTGCACTCCCAAGACTGCCATTAGCCCCCTTTCGGGCTCTTGGAAGAACGAGGTCTTTTTCTTTGTGGGGACTACTTTGCAAAGCCAACCCCTTCCTCAACTCCGCATCCCCTCCTCTCGTCCCTGCCAGACTGAACCTGTTTTCTCTCGGCTTCGTTGTTCCTTTCCTTGGTGTTGAAATCTTCTCCTGTCAGCTGGTTTTTTGTTTGTTTGTTTGTTTGTTTTTTGTAATTTCAGCCTGACTC